AAATGTGTGGACTCCGACTCCCAACACAGAAGACATTTTGAATTCGCCTGAGTACTGAGTACTGAGTACATCTTAGAAAAATCGAGGGAGGAATCGAATTGTCAGCAGGTGCCAGTTTTTTTTTTGGGGGGATTATATTATTATATTGGTTATCCAAATTGCGTGCCAAATTAATACTGGTACAACACACTGAAGTAAGTAGTTTTTGTCTGAGCGCAACCTACATGAACACAAATTTGCCAAAGCGTACCGGAAAGATCCACTATAAGATAGGCAGAGGACAACCTAATCTCCACAGGACATAATAAAATATACACGATTTGACAAGACGCAGAATGCTGACTGAACGCATGATAATGAACCAGAATAGATTATTTTGAAGAGCCATAGCACATAATTTTTTAATATCCTAACCTCGTGATAACACCGAACAACAATAAGAAGAAAAAAAACAACAGCATTAACAATAAAAACATCAACCCTAACAACAACAACAACAACAACAACAACAACAACAACAACAACAACAACAACAACAACAACAACAACAACAGCGTATTTGTACAACAGTTTATAGTAAGCTTACACACAGTAACTCACACAGTATTTATAATTTTGTTGCAGGAACCCTGAAAGACTGTGCACTAAGCACTTGAAGCATTTTTAAAAAGTGACAAAACCAGCACCTTCGATTTCTTTGACGTCACTAGCCGAATTTCCTGCTTGCTCTACCCATCCGGGATTTTCCTCACCTGTGCTGTTTTCTGTCAACAGGTAGGTCAAACAGGTCAAATAAACCCTGGCATTTTTATGCGCCTTAACCCCGCTCTATTCACCTTACACGGCAACTGCTAACGTTAAGATTTTATTCAAGCTACCCGTCACGACCACTTTTGTGTTCTGTCTTCACATGAGATCTGTCTTTTCACTTGCCATGATTTTTATTTTAAATATTAACCCCCTTTCCTCGCTCAAGAGAAATGATTCATGCTTCATCTCGGGGCGATTTGAGGGGGGGGGGGCAGTTTTGAATTTGTGTCAAGCTTCAGTGTTTCGTCTGAAGTGTTCATAAAGGTATATAACACAGTACCGGTTTTTAAAAAATAACCTAAAAACCAAACCAAACCAAAACAGACACAGACGTAGTGCAGTATAGGAGGATACGGAGCTCATTGTAGCTTTCTTCTTTTGCCTGCATTTTGCGGCCTTTTTTGTGTGGCTTTTAAAAAAGTAACCGTGTATTCTGTGTGTTCAGAAACAAACTGGGGAGGAACAAAAGCAATATTCGTTTACTTGCCTTATAACGTTTGCATGTCATATTGTAGGGCCTATGTCATGCGATAATTCTTAGAAATTAAAGTGCATGATCAAAGCGAAACCAGCACTTTGAAATAATTGAAATCTAAAATATCAGCTAGATCTATAGCAAAACAAAGTTCAACAATAGCAGCAACTCAGCAGTTGCATTGGCAGCAGCAGCAGCAGCAGTTGCAGCAGCAGCAGTTGCAGCAGCAACAACAGCGGAGTAGCAAATAAAGCTAACTGTTGAAGACGAGGGAGAATAGTGACGTGGGTTCACGTCATTTTAGTATCCGTAAACAAATTTCTCGAAAAGGAGCTAATTCTTCAAGCAATAGGAGTGCACTCGGACTGCGAAAAAGAAACAAACGGCCATCTTTTCTTTCCTGGACTGGTATAATTAACATCTGACCGTTAAGTCCTGCGCAGCAGGGGAGTGAGTAGGGAGTGAGAAATACATTAGTGCCCTCGCTGTTGCATGTTTCTAAGAAACACGCAACTAAAGTTAAGGAGACCCAAAAAGTCGAATAAAATTGGAAAAACAGCTGGGCCTCAACAACCGACGCTTTGGTGGATAAAGTCCATGTAGGGCAAACTTCTGAGAGCACCATCTGTGGAGTGCACACACATGGGGGTCGTTTGAACTTGGGCGATTTTGCTTATTTTTGCTCGGTTGGTGTTAATGTATCATCTACCTTTAAAGATTTCAAAGTGAGTGGAATGGGACTTAGATCAGGTGTCAATTGGTTAATAAATGTAACCGATCTGACAGTCAATTTGTTCGGATTGTCCCAAAATGTAAGCTTTTGGGCCTCTCTTGAAGGACAATCTGGCAGCTATCAAATGTATCAAACCATATCAGACAGGGATTTGACAAAACTGTTTCAGTGTGCACTAGGTGGTTAGCTCTAGCTATGCTTGCAACTCTATGGGGGTTTTGTTTTTCGAATGCGCAAAAGGCGAGACCGTTCTAAGAAAATAAGAAGGGACGTGTTTAGTCGTGTGTAACCTATAACAGGAAAATCCCACTGTGTTTGTCAGGGGCACTTTTCCCTTGCTGTGCCACGATTTTGAAAACGTTTTCCCTCAGCATCGCCGTACTCTTCCCATCATCATTGAATCCGTGACCCGCACCACAACCCTGCTGAGACTTCACACACACGGAGAAAGGAGGGAGGGGGAGTTTCAAGCTGGCTGTATAAAGCTTTTGCTCTTTTCTAACCGACTTTCCCGCTAGTCAAAGTCAGTGACCGACTGACTTGCATGCGTGAGAGGGTTGTAAATGTAGCGGTGGCTCTATTTCAAGACTTCTCAGCTCTAGCACAGTTCATTCTTTCCCCCTAGGCCTAGGCCAGACACGCTCGTGTGTTGTGTGTGCGCGGTGCGCAGTGGTGCTGAATGAAAAACCTGGGCGCATCGTCCCGACAGAGTAATCACAGTGTGCTCACCAGTATAATTTAGCCTGCAAAAAAAAGAGCGCATATTCAGCATTCTCTGCCACTTTCTGCTCCAGTACGCCTCAATGTAAGTTTTTCCACTTTGCTTATAGATAAATAAAGAAGTTTTATAAATAAATAAATGAGTAGATAGGGCCTATCATTTTATGTAGCCTATGTTATATTATAATATTATATTATATTACATTATATTATATTATATTACATATATATATATATATATATATATATATATATATATATAGTCTATATATAGTCTATATATATAAAGATAGATAGATAGATAGATAGATAGATAGATAGATAGATAGATAGATAGATAGATAGATAGATAGATAGATAGATAGATTGATCCCCCCCTCCCCAAATCGCTTGTTAATTTTTTCACGCGTTTTTATTCGATCGTCGGATAACTAAATTGTATACAGATCTGTGTGCAAGTCGGTACTGAACTTAGATCTACATCTAGATCTAAATTTAAAGCGGGGTCTGTTGCTGGAAATAAAAAAATGTTCTCAAGTAATTGAGGCTAATAGTTAAAGATGTGGTCATTTTCAAAGCGGATGTACGATTTATGTCGGAGGCCACAGTACTACCCCCCCCCCCTTTCCAGCCCCCAAAAAAGCAAGAAAGAGTCGAAGCACCCCCCACCCCCGCTCTCAGAAAAAAGGAATGATGACAGGAAGAAGAAAAAGCAAAACTAACAAAACAAACAAAACAAACCCAAATAAACAACAAAACACACCAAAAAAAAGCAGGAAACCTTATTTTTTTAAAACACGTGACAATAATAGACTTTATACACTTCAATGAAAAACGAAAAACTCACGTTAAAACATACTAACAACACTTTGTTACTGAAGCAACAATAATAATATTACCATCTGGAAAACAGACGTTCATCAATCGAGCAAGTTTGCCTAGTGGAAAAGATAGTTTCATGTTCATGCAAATGTCCATACTGATAATACAATTTTACTTTTGTACATAGAGTACCGGTATAGGTAGTTTGCGGGCAGAGTACGCAGCATAACGTTTCGGCAGTTGGTTTTTAAAAATTTAATTTGTTTTTCTGTTTTAAAGATATCTGTAGAGAAGTAAAATGATCCGTACTGTAAGAACCTACAAAATAAGCCACCGCGTTGAATGTATGCTAATAACGTTTACTTAATTTTTCTCCAATCATCCTGCGCAAACGATTGCACAAGTACTTGCAGCTAACGGCACAGCCTGAAGCACTTGAACGATTACATTGTTTTTGTCTGGGCGCCTGTCCGGCTCTCTTGTTATATCCCCGGAGCTCTGGCGTATAAAATCGGTTTGAACATTCCGTCTCAAAGTTGTATTGTGGAGTTATAGAGGGTGGTTGGCGGGTGCTCTGGTTTGGTTTGCTCCTTCTTTCTATCTCCCTCATCTCGCCTCCTTTTTTATATTAGTTACTCTAGTGTAATACCTCTTATCTCCGGCACTTGTAATATGACCTAATTGTGTTGCTATTTCCGCAAAACTAAAACTATTATTTAAAAAAAAAAGAAGGAACGTTTCGATTAGAAGGGACACAAGAAATTATACTTTTACTGAAAAAATTCCACTTTCCTTTCGGTCGGTGATGTGATAATCAAAAACAGCTTGTACAAGCATGGTGGTCGCGATATGCGATAGCGTAGTTATCTCTGAGTGAGGAGGAATAATCTGAGCCATTCACGACAACGGCTTGAAGTTTGGTCATCATGACCTTCACTTTGAGGCGCTGATCACCGCGGAAAAATTATACAGTTCCTCGCCACATCACCAGACTTATCTATAGCACTTGGCAAGGAGGCTGGAGACAGTGTTTGTCGTTCATGAGTGGAAGCAGAGGTGCACCATCATCATCCTCATGACGTATCAGATCTGAGACAGATAACGACAATCATAATTCACCAATCGTTTGTCTTCTAGGATCTCAAAAACGTGTTTATATTATACCGATCTTTGCTCGTCCCCCATCTGTTCAGGGTCTCTTGGTAAGTTACTTTTCGTCTACCTCTGCCTCGTTTGCTTATTTTTAAAATTAAATAAAATAATGAGAGGCCCACCCGTGGACCTATATCAGCACTACCTGATTTGATTTTTTTTCTCCTTTCATAAAATTCTCAGTCGTCTCTTTAGAACCCACCTTTCTGTTGCTTACATGATTGATTTATTTTTATTATCTTTGGTTATTGACCATCATTCTCAACCGTATAGAAGAGTTGGTGTTTTTTAAAACTCTTTTTATTTTGGTTGTCTTTGAAATGTTACTTCTTTTTTTTCAGGAGTGGGCTCATTCTATTGAAAATGTTAAAAAAATATCTTTAAAAATTGCAATGCTTCGTTTTATATCTGTGGAACAATGGCGTCGGATGTATTATATAATATCCTGAATAGTAACATTATTTAAAGTGTGAAACTTATGCGATGTTTTCGCTTGTGCTTTATGATTTTACTCTTAAGGTTTACTGTTTCTTTTAAAAACATTGCCACACATTTTGTTTTCTTTACAATTAAAAATAACCCTTTACGTTAACTCTTTTTATGGGGGGGGGGTTGTTTTGGTGTGCTTTACGGCCCACGAAGCTGCACAAGGTCATTTGAGCGCGACACATTATGTGTTATTTCAGTTTAGTAGAAATTAATATTTTGTCCGGGTAGCAGTCGAAGCCTACTCTAATCGATTTTAGAACGACGAAGGGATCTTTGACGTGCGCAATTTGCACATGTGTCCTCCGGGATTTTTTCGCCTTTATCCGAATAGGCTAGGTGTTAGACCTTACCTACCCTAAGATCAGGGGTATAGCTGAAAGACAAAAGTAAGAGGGAACCAAGGACTAGCAGTACAAATGCTACAGAAAGAGTCAGGAGCCCAGACGAGGGGGGGGGGGGGCAAAGATGAAGGGTGAGGGAGGTGGAGGCGTATGTTTACTTTCTGTTGTAGCATGATCGAAAAGCTACTGAAGGTTCTTTTTCTGAATTTGCTTTTAATACTGTGCTGTCGGCATATCTGTTGTTATTAGTAGTATTTTTTCATTCACTTTGACGCTTACTCTTTCTTTAATATATTTTTAAAGGATATTAACTGAAAGACAACGCTTTGCAACTTTAAAAAATCAACCAATTGTGTATTGAAGAACTCATTTTATGCAAAATTGACATAGCCAAATAAACTCAGGGCAGGTGGTAACTTTAATTTGTATGCTCTAGGCATTGGTCATTTCTCCCCTGACAAGCTCGAATACGCCACTGGAAATTTTGAATGCACGTATTCCTGTCGGAGGTTTCTGTGTCGATTCTTGTGACGTCCTGTTCCACACTGAGTTTCAACCATGCGATTAATTGTAGATTGTTTCCGTAGACTTGATCTGTAATAAAATAAAGAAAAGCAACAAACAAACAAGCAATCAAAACAGACCCCCCCCCCTATAATATTCGAGGGGAGGGGGAGTCAAGTCGAAAGGGACATGGTGACAATTCATTAGTAAGCTTTAGGCTTATAATATAGCTTTTCCCAAATCTTTCTTGCAACCACGCGATGGCCAGGACTGGAACCACGCTTCCTCAACTGCAGGACAACCCCCCTCCCTCCCTTAATTTGCCCCATACTTTCTCAGGACTGTGAGATAGATGTGACTAACGGTCATGGTTTTACCTGCTCTGGATTTACTGTCCTCGTCCTGAAACCAGAGCGGGCCAACCACGCCCCTGTTGCTGAATAGCCCAAGGCGTGTGGAGACAGGCTGTAATAATTGATTATTTTGAATGGTCAGTGGAACAGAATAACTAGATGAAAGCAGTTGCGTCACTGCATTCCAGGAGATACTTAAGGGAAATGAACTTCATTAGCAGGTATTGGCAAGCTACGACCCCCCGGCCAGTAATGGCCCTCGAACAGTTTCAGTCTGGCCTGCGAGTCGACCCAATAACAACATGTAGACCGAATATAGAATGTGGCCCGTGGTATACTGATAATAATAATTAACTGTGAAAAATAAATAAAACAACAACAAAAAAGAACTAAAAACTGTTCGTGTATAAAATTAAAATCAGTGGTTTCCTGCCTTGCTGGAAGAAATTGAACTGATAATATTATTTTTATCTCTTGAAATGCTGTTGAGTGGCATAATAATTTTTATGCTATATTATATTATTAGAATTAGTTTTGATCGCACTTTTAAGAGCTTGGATATTTCTGCTGGTTTCATCCAATTTTTTCTTGCTTTGGCCCGCGAGACATTCGGAATCGCCTGATCTGGCCCGCAACTTGGACTCGCTTGCCCAAGCCTGGAATACGTTATAACAATGGGTGGAAAAGTGTGTGCCTTTGTCTGGAAATGCAGCTGAGGGGGTTCATGAATAATGTGTACATTTGCACACATGGTATAATATGTTTATATTGGAAGTGGTAAGTTTATGCCGAAATGGATAAAAGTGTATGGTTGTTTGGGGTGCACTATGTAAACGAGTATACATGTGTGTGTGTGTGTATCTGTATGTGTGTATGTGTTTGTGTGTATGTCTCTCTGTGTGTGTTTGTGTGCGCGCACGTGGGCGGGCTTGTTTGATTAGGAATGAGAGAGAGAAAGAGAGAGAGAGATAGAGAGATAGAGAGAGCGAGAGAGAGAGAGAGAGAGAGAGAGAGAGAGAGAGTATAGACGTGTAGAGTAGGAGATAGAATACCGAGATGGAAAGACAGGTAGAGTGACAGATAGACAGGCAGAGGAAAAGA